TTAATTTCTTTTTTTTTTTTTTTTTTTTTTTAAACTTTAGGTAACATGTATTGATGTATTGTTATTTGTCAGGAAATGACATTCCTGAAAAGTAGATTTCATGTTGTGGAATCCACCACTAGAGGATGTGATCCTTAACCTTTAATATATCCTTTTTGTACATTTAATCTCTGCAATGAAAAATTAAAGTTGCTTTAATACAGCTGCTGAACATTTTGAGTGTAGTGGGAGCCTCATCTGGTTTCTCTAGTATGTATTCTGTATGACTGGGCAACAGAGCAGCTCCTGGAGAGCCAATACTCAGCAAGGATGATCTGACTCCTGTCTGGGGTTACTAAAAAATAATGGCACCCCATTCACAAGATGGAATCATTATAATGAATGCTCTCAATGGCCCTTAAACCGTCTTTTTTTCACCATTGTCCACCCAGATCTTGTGCCACTTGAAAAAAGAGGGACAAAAACTTGAGTGCTGATGGTGGAAAATAAAGGCTAATACAGACAGGTTAAAAAAATAGTGACATCTTCTAAGCCTACCATAAGGCCTGCATTACAGATTAAGAGAAATTTCCTATCAGCCTCTGCTGAAATTCTGGTCCAAGCAGTTATCCTGGTTTGTAAAATCTGTTATCAATGTATGACTGCAGGCAACTTCTTGAGGGATAGCCAGCATGGGTTTGTTGCGGGTATGTCTTGCTTGACCAATCTCATCTCCTTCTACGACCAGGTGACATATCACCTGGACAAGGGAGAGGAGATTGAAATCATATATCTCAACTTTAAAAAAGCTTTCGATGTGGTATTCCATGATCATCTTATAGAAAAGCTGGCCAATTACAGCCTCGGCTACATCACAGTCTGCTGGCTGTGGAATTGGCTTCAAGGTCGGACCCAGAGAGTGGTAGCTGATGGAAGTCAATCATTGTGGTGCGCTGGGACTAGTGGGGTCCCCCAAGGCTCTGTCCTTGGGCCTATGCTTTTCAACACCTTCATTAATGATGTGGACATTGGTGTCAGAAGTGGACTGGCCAAGTTTGCTGATGACACCAAACTTTGGGGAAAAGCGTCCATACCCAAGGACAGGAAGGTGATCCAGGTTGACCTTGACAGGCTCGGAAAATGGGTGGACGAAAACCCGATGGCCTTCAGCACCAAAAAATGCGAGGTACTCCATCTTGGGAAGAAAAACCCGCAGCATGCTTATAGACTCGGCAGTGTTATGATTGCTAGCACCACAGCTGAAAGGGACTTGGGGGTCATGATTGACCACAAGATGAATATGAGCCACCAATGTGATGTTGCAGCTGGCAAAGCGAGCAAAATTCTGTCTTGTATCCATAGATGCTTCTCTAGCAAATCTGAGGATGTCATCCTCCCACTGTACTCAGCCTTGGTGAGGCCACAGCTGGAGTACTGTATCCAATTCTGGGCTCCACAATTTAAAAAGGATGTGGAGAAGCTTGAGAGAGCCCAGAGGAGAGCCACATGCATGATCAGAGGGCAGGAAAACAGGCCTTATGGTGAGAGGCTGAGAGCTACAGGACTCTTCAGCCTGGAAAAGCGCAGGCTTGGGGGATTTGGTGGCTGCCTATAAGTATATAAGGGGTGTGCGTCAGGGATCTGGGGTAACACCTGTTCACCAGAGCCCCCCATGGGATGACAAGGTCAGACTGTCACAAACTTCTCCAAGACCATTTCAGGCTGGACATAAGGAAGAACTTATTTACAGTCCGAGCCCCCAAGGCCTGGAACAGACTGCCACCAGAGGTGGTGCAAGCACCTACTCTAGATTCCTTTAAGAGTCATTTGGACATTTATCTTTCTGGGATCCTGTGACCCCAGCTGACTTCCTGCCCCTGGGGCAGGGGGCTGGATTTGATGAACTTCCGGGGTCCCTTCCAGCCCTAATGTCTATGAAATCTGTGAAACATGTGACATTTGTGTCATCATAGTTCTTATGGTATTAGTGGGAGATGTTCAGATGCTACAATGGTAAGTGTGCTTTACAAAACTTAGAATAGAATAGGATAGGCTTGTGCAGACCGATCTAATGCCAGGGCTAAAGGAATGAACAAGCCAAAGAAAGGCATGAGATCTCTCTTCACCCCCATGTACCCACACTGCTCTGGAGCCTTTTCTTAAGAAGCTGTGTCTTCTCTGCTGGCATTTGCTTGTATATAAGCAGCATGGGACTGCAAAGGCACTGGCTATTGCTGATTCCAAAATCAGCAACATCAGCAACACTAAGGAGCAGTACTGAGATGTTGCACCAGGTCAGAGGAGAGACAGGACCACAAATAACTCCAAAACAACTGACAGAGGAGCTGGAAGAGACATACCCACCTCCATGCGTGTAGTTGATGAGAAGCTAGCTAAGGGTAAAACAGAGAGGTACGTTAGAGGTAGTCAAATATATTTGAATAACTTCCATCCAACAGCATACTTTTAAGGTTGTCAGTAGTGGAGAACAGTAGGCCTGTGCGAAGTGGCTAGTACTGGCTTAGAATTCAGATTCGGCTGATTCAGGGGACAGTGATTCGAATCACTGTCCTGAATCGACTTGGCCTAATCAGATTCAGAGATTCGGCTGCTGCTGCATCTCTGAATCATGCAGGCCCATCCCCCACCCATTCTCCCAACCCTAGCTCCCAGCACTTGGAAAAAAAAGCCCCACACTCACTGGGTGCTGCTGGCGGGGGGTGGGGGTGATCCCTGCTGTCCTCCACTGCCCCATGCTGTGTGGGGGGCTCTCCCCACTGTCCCAGCCCCCTCCCCCAAAAACCCCACACTCACCAGTTCCTGCACGGTGGGGGGCGATCCCCCTGCCCATTGCTGCCCCCTGCCACAGGGGGGGAGCTCTTCCACAAGCCCCCTGAAGCCCTGTGGTTGTTGCGGGAGCTGGTGAGTCTTGGTTGTTTTTTTTTTTTTTTCCTGAAAGGGCCAAAGCTGGAGTGGGTGGGGCAGCCATGATGGGGCTGGGGGAGCGAGGGGGAAGTCAAGGGGCTCATGGCAGAGCCCCCCATGTAGTGCGGGGCAGCAGGGATTGCCCTACCGCCAGGCAGCAACTGGTGAGTCGTGGCTTTTTTTTAAAGCACCAGTAGCTGAGGCAGGCAGGGCATCCCTAGCGGGGCTGGGGGAGTGGGCGGGG